CTACAATAAAAATAATAATAATGTATATAATAACAACTACATTGTTACCGGCGCAAATGGAACACGGATTGCTCGCATATTTTGAAATTTACAACGAGTGTTTTGTCCCTGAGCTACCATGGCTCTTAATATTCTAATAAATATTTCAATATAATATCAATTCATTTAGATAACATTTTTTTACAGAATTTGGTTGACAAACGAGCACACAGTGCACCTGATCGTAAGCAGATGCTGTGGCCCATAGACATTTATACAACATTATCCCTGAAGACTAAGATGGAATGCCTCGATTCCAGTAAAACGATTTTTCAGTTATCTATACTCATCATACGAAAGACAGCAGCATTAAGCTGCTATTCTGTGAGTTTGACATGACTACAACCATAATGTACCATAATAAAATAAAAATAAAACTCAAATATTCAATGATCATATAGTCCTACGCTCCGCGATAAAGTGCCAATAACGGTTTCACGTTTCCTCGCTAAATAGCTTGAGCTTTGAGCGAGAAAGAACCAACGCTCTTATCACCGGTGGTGACGATTTATATTTTATTGGTTTTCATTTTATTTTTTTTAAGGTTGCTCTTCTTCATAACTGTGTTTAATTTACTGTTAGTATAAAACAACCTTTTTATTAAATATAGATTATTGAAACTAACTCTTTTCTTTATTTTTACACCCGAAAAAATCTTCTTTCAGGGATCTCAATTACCCGACTTATATGAAATGGGGTTGTGTATTCTCCTATATCACATGTTTATGTCACGTTATATTAATACCAGTAACTTTTTAATGGTTTATGAACCGTGTCATAATATCCAATACCTCATATCCTCCCATGGGTGTAGTCAGAGACACATAGAGGGAATTACACCTGGAGATGAGCGGCAGTGTCTTTGTGTTAATAACTAGAAAATAACCGAATGCGGTTTCCAGCCCGCCTGGTAATTATAGCAACTACCCCCTTATGAGGCAATCTAAGGTGATAACTATGTTCAGCAGTGAACTTTGATACGATGTAATGATGATAAATTCGTTGCTTCGTTGGTCTAGAGGTCGTAAACGTTTTATCTGTGGGAAGGTCCGTGTATAGCGATGGAATTCAATAGGTTTTAATGATTTTGTTTAATGTTTCGATTGAAAATTTCAGATGACCAAATAGGGAATTCACGCGACTCAACATTTGCAGACATGGTATTAACGGCAACGAATGGAAACGGTTGCGATATCGTCATCAGCTGTATTTCTGGTGATCTTAAACACGTAAATTTCTATTTTTTACCGCTTAGTACCTATATATACAGGAGTTCAGTGACAAACGTGAGAGTTGTCACTGAACTCCTAAACAGCTGGACCGATTTTGGTAAAATCGATAGACGAAGTTTTCGTGTGTTTCAGTGGTTCCGCGAATGCTTTAGTAGCGCTGCCGCCGCCGGTTATAGTATTTTTTTTAATTTTACGTGCTGACGTACTCATTTGCGCAGGATATAATTATAATTTATGAGTGAGGGCGCAAACAAAGGTGTAATCTTACTATCACAGCCCGATGGGAGGGCAATGCGACAAGACTAGAGAAAGATCAGACGCAGGACCAATATAAAGGTGAAAAACCGCCAAATTCCTGACACCAAGCTGCTACTGCGAATTCCTTACCAGAAAATAATTTCTTACCCGGGGTTTGAACCCTTATGAACAGCAGTCGCATTCACGACCACTGGACCAACGAGGCAGTTGTCATTTTTTTATAACTATAAAATAAGAAAAATAATCAATATACTTACAATGTTTCTTTTTCAGATATCCATAAAATGCGCTGCATCGTGGGGTGTAACGATCGATACGGCGCAAATTCCAACCCGAGATAACTTTTATTTCGGAATGCATAGCATGACTAAAGGGAGGTCGTACATAGCTATTAACTTCAGTCAGCTCTTTTCTCAAGAATGTAATGTGGAATTAAGAGTAAGCACTTCTTTACGTTAACAATTCTTAAAAGAAACTAAAGTAAAACAAAGTAATTTTGGTATTTTTTCAGAGTAACAGCAAATCGTTATGTACTACTTTTTATCACTTTTTACTACATGCACAAAATTATTGTTGTCTATTTTACTGCCCTGCTCTGTCTCGCAAGCAACACAAAGTCAGTAGTTTGCATTTAGAAAAAGCCAAAGTTAGGGGCTTTTTAGTTGCTAATTAAGTGCCACGTTTAAAAATAAGGCGCTCTAAAATTTTCACTGTAATGAATGCGTTGCTGGCAGAATGTATGTCTAGGAACGCAGGGAAATAATGTATATGTGATAAATATTAATAGAAAGGAATTACTCGTAAGTACTAATTAAGTGCTGAAGGATTATTGAGGTCGGATGTGGATGACGGTAATATTCTGAGAATTATGAGCTACATGACTACCATTACTGTATGATTTTTTTTCTTCTTTGTCAGTTATATATTATAGATAAGATAGATCGAATTTATATTAAAGCTTTAGCGGGCGGGTACTGCACTTCCTGCAATAGTAATTGTGACATTATCACTGTGTAAAAATGTGAGTTGTGTTTTTGAAATCACTTAATTAGCAATTAATTATCAAATTAATTCTATACCCGATTTTGATTCCGTTCTGATTTTTGAAGACCTGATTTTTGCATCTGTTTTGTTATGAATAATGACTTTATTTTTATTAGGGGCACTTTGTCATTGACTTCACTTGCGGCACATAATTAGCACCTAATGCCTTGCTAATTATTTTTAATCACTTATCTATTGTTGCTAGCGACACGTTTTGTCAGCAACGCAAATTTCAAAGTTTTAGAGTATTTAATTTTTAAACTTGGCACCTAATTATCTACTTTTATATATTGAATAAAACTATTATTTACGGATTTTATCGCGTTTAATTACTTTAATTTATTTTTATTATTATCCCGACGTTTCGGGTGCTTTACAGCGCCCATGGTCACGGGGGGGACTGAGATGTTTGACGTCCCAATGTCATAGTTAGTCCGGCTACCTTCAGTTTTTTTATATTAATTTTTGGTCCGATTTACGCAAAACGAGCTTATAGTATCATGAAGTCTTGCAGTGGTATGCTTGGGTTTGGGTTTAATTTTGTTAATTATAGGATCCCAAGCAGATGGTAGCACCCAACCATCTTCTCTATTGAAATTTGGATGTTTTTTAATTTCAATAGCCTCGCGTATCATCCTTGGTAGGAATCGGTGTTCTTTTGCGAGAATTTGTGGTTTATCAAATCTAATGTAATGGTGGGGACGATCTTGAACATGTTCGCAGACTGCAGACTTCCCGGAGCGTCGGTGCTTCACATCAGCTATATGTTCCTTCACGCGGGTTTTTATAGATCTCTTTGTTTGACCTATGTAAGAGAGACCACATTCACAATCTAGCTTGTACACACCTGCATCTTGTAGAGGAATATTACATTTGATGGATGGTAAAAATTGACTAATCTTCTTCAGCGGCTTGTAGTATGTCTTAATGGACGCTCGCTTCAAGATGTAGCCAATCTTGTCCGTGACTCCTCTAACATATGGTAGTAGATTCAATTGTAACTAGGAAGCTAGAAGAAAATAACATGCCTCAAGAATATGCAATACTACTTGAACATTGCCTCACATCTGGCTATCTATTGTGGAAGGAGGAGTTCTACAAGCAAGTAGATGGTGTGGCGATGGGCTCACCTGTGTCTCCCATAGTCGCCGACATATTCATGGAGGACTTTGAGGAGAAAGCCCTTCTTACTGCTCCTGTAAATCCAAGGTTCTACAAGCGGTACGTAGACGACACTTTCACAATTTTAACATCTGACAAAGTAACTGCATTTTTAGACCACCTTAACTCCATAAACTCTAAAATACAATTCACAATGGAGTTAGAGGCAAATAATTCTTTAGCTTTCCTAGATGTTTTAGTCATCCGAAATCCTGATAACACTATTGGTCACACTGTGTATAGGAAAAAGACCCAAACCAACCGATATTTAAATGGTGAATCTCACCATCATCCTTCACAGTTAGCTACCGTGGGTAAATCTTTGTTTCAGAGAGCACGAGGGATCTGTGACAGAAAACATCTGGCCGCGGAGCTTCAGCACGTCAAGCAAGTATTGCAAGACAACAAGCTTCGGGTCCCGCGCCTACGTCACAGTGAACGAGTGAAGCCGGCCACAGTCGAGCGCGCGCCTGCTCTACTACCATATGTTAGAGGAGTCACGGACAAGATTGGCTACATCTTGAAGCGAGCATCCATTAAGACATACTACAAGCCGCTGAAGAAGATTAGTCAATTTTTACCATCCATCAAATGTAATATTCCTCTACAAGATGCAGGTGTGTACAAGCTAGATTGTGAATGTGGTCTCTCTTACATAGGTCAAACAAAGAGATCTATAAAAACCCGCGTGAAGGAACATATAGCTGATGTGAAGCACCGACGCTCCGGGAAGTCTGCAGTCTGCGAACATGTTCAAGATCGTCCCCACCATTACATTAGATTGGATAAACCACAAATTCTCGCAAAAGAACACCGATTCCTACCAAGGATGATACGCGAGGCTATTGAAATTAAAAAAACATCCAAATTTCAATAGAGAAGATGGTTGGGTGCTACCATCTGCTTGGGATCCTATAATTAACAAAATTAAACCCAAACCCAAGCATACCACTGCAAGACTTCATGATACTATAAGCTCGTTTTGCGTAAATCGGACCAAAAATTAATATTAAAAAACTGAAGGTAGCCGGACTAACTATGACATTGGGACGTCAAACATCTCAGTCCCCCCCGTGACCATGGGCGCTGTAAAGCACCCGAAACGTCGGGATAATAATAAAAATAAATTAAAGTAATTAAACGCGATAAAATCCGTAAATAATAGTTTTATTCAATGTGTAGTGTTCGCGTAAATTTAAGAAATCATTACTTTTATATATTTTTATTAGAAATTACTTTATCAACAAATTAATATAGTTACAAAATTTTCATTTATTGCGCTGTTTTATATGAAGAATGATGATTGTAATCTACATAATATAAACAAATTTATAAATAAAATTTAAATTTATAAAATTTAATCGATTGGATTTTCAACATTACTTTCATCAGTTTTATGTATCTGAGCGTGACGGTCACGTGAGTTTAGTGATTTTTCCCCATTCCAGAAGTGAAATATGAACTTTAAACTTAATTAAAACCGAATCTTCAGTTCAGGAGCTATGTTGCCATACAAACACAAATACACGGATATGCAGCACAATCTTATAACATCCCTCTGTTTTCGTCGAGGGTTAATAAAATGAGCTGTTTTGTAATGCCATGTTCGCAGCGTATCGTCTTTCTCTCTTTGTTGGTTTGAGCTTGCGAGCGATATTAGTTATGTAACTTTTTTTAATAGAAAATACAGTTGATGGTATCTGAGGGCATTAAGCGTGGCTACGTACGTCCGTTGTCACGAGTCATGTATGCCCCCATGGACGTTTCTCGTGCTTTTCGCCTGTTAGCCGCAAGTCAACACCGTGGACGTGCACTAATTCAACTTCAAGCTAACATTAATACTCAAGATGGGCTTTTCCCATACTTTAAACCTAGGTAAATTTTATTCATTATTTTCAAATACTATACTATTTGTTACTGCTTAGGACCTAATTTCTAATCTGATGTAGACACTAAGCTAAGCGCTAAATTATCGCCGTGATTTTTATAGTCCCCTGGAAATCACAGTTTGAATTTCGCCGACCTATAAAAAACTGTTTGTTGAATTATAGTTGCTTTCTAATCTTGTACTCGCCGGTTAAGGAAAAATGTTATCCAGACCGAACTCCGTTCTAATAAAAAATAAAAATATAAATTACTTCGCAACCTTCCGCTAAATAAATACAATGATGTATCTTACCTGGATTGAAGAGCACCTCCCGCCCTCCCCCAATTGCATGCACTAACTAATTGAGGGAGGGCGGGAGGTGCTCTTCAATCCAGGTAAGACACATCATTGTAGTTATTTAGCGGAAGGTTGCGAAGAAATTTATATTTTTATTTTTTATTATATTGGATTTCCGCAAAGTAACGTCTGATTCTATCAACGAACTCCGTTCTTTGGGGCCAGGCTCAACGGACAACGGTTATAGGGCACGAGTGTGTGCGCAGTTCAGAATCTCTCTCTCCCTCTCATAGCACGATTGAACGGCAATGCGACACAACTAGAAAGAGATCAGATACAGAACCAATGGCTTTTAAAACTTTTCGTGGCACGAGAGTGAAATACCGCCAATTTTCTGACTCCGAGTTACTACTGAGAGTTTCTTGACAGAAAAACTAATTTTGGCTGAACCTGGGATTTGAACTCAGGACCTCTTGTTAAGCAGTCGCGCTTATGACTACCGGATCAACGAGAAGGATACAAGGAAAACACCCTGAGGAATCATGTTTGTGAAGAAATTTAATATTTCGGGGGAAAAAATTCGGGGGAAAAAAGCTCGGTACGACGGTTTAACTTAATCCTCTTAAAAATGAGGGGAAACATCTGTCTAGCAGTGGTGCGTATATTAGATTATTTTATGTAACAGTCGTCTTCCGGACGTTACTAAAGTATAACTGTATGTTGTCTGATATTTTATCTAAGTATTTAGGAATAACAAAGCATCTGTGGCTGTATTTGTTTGATTGCAGATGTCCATGGTGTATTGAAGTCACTTGCTATTATCACTCGTCATTCAAATATAAAAAAGATTTAACCTAACCTGTATGAACTGAATTGATTTTAGAGTGTTTTACAGTTTTATATTTCGTTTTAGTGTTAGGAACAGTTGCTGAAGTAAGAGCGCATGATTGTTTATAAATTTTTTATTACTATTATGGTAATATTAATTTTCAGAATGTTCTGCTCTTCAGATTTAAGTCAAATAATATTTTGCAACAATGAAAATTTAGGTTTAGAGTTTGCAAAAAAATTAGTTAACCGTGGCGCCCGTAAAGTGTACTTGCACTCCTTAAAACATTCTGAATATCTTGACTATGAAATCCGGTATGTCTATATTATTGTGTTTCCTTAGTTAATGTGGAATTTATTTCCCGTTCGTGTAACTTAATAGAAGGATTTAATTAACAGGTCACTGGTAAAACAGGGTGTTCAAGTAAAGCTTACTAATGAAATATTAAAAAGTGAAAACGATATTACAAACTTGTTAAATGATTGCAACAATCTCGGCACAGTTGAAGGCATTTACATAGTAGGAACAAACGAAATGTCTGATGCTGGATCAGAAAATTTAGTTCAACTACTGGATTTAGTTTCAAGAAAACTTTGTCCACATATTAAGTGAGTAAATATCAAATGAAATTCTTTTACATATTTTTAATAGAAATTGTAATACAAGAGCGATAACATTGTTACTAAAAACTGATGGTAATCTACGCTGTACTCCCTATATTAAGATTATAGACAATTTTGATCGCCTTTTTAGTGACAAATTGTTTTAAGTATGGTCATGCAAATACTTAGTACCACAATTGTAGTGTTTATAACCTTAAATTTGGACAAATAATATATTCTATAAAATTTTAATGATTGTAAAAATGAAGCATTCTCTGAACTTGTCGATAATTCAATAATAATATTTTATAGGCATTTTGGAGTGCTCAGCATTAATGTGGACACTGGTCTTAATGTTTGTATCTCCAGAGCTCAAGATAGGTTGCCAGTGACGTTATTGATAGTACCCGCCATTAAAAAGGTAAAGGTTATATCTAATAATGACATTCATATCAAGGCATTGAGACTGCCAGAGAAATTTATAAATATTTACAGAGTAGGGATATTAAAGCAGGGTAGCAACCCTTACTGGGTACAAGCCTCCTTCCGCTGTCATCGTCGTCGTCGCTATGCAAGCAAATACATTTACCAAAGTGTTAGGTAGTGTCTCAGTTTATTTCAGCGCCAATGGAAACTCAATTAAATAGGACGAAAAGCCAATACCGCGGAATAGATCTGTACCATAAGGTATGAATATTTTTAAAGATGGGGGTGACAAACGAGCGCACAGTACACCTGATGGTAACTAGGTTCTGTGGCCCATAGATATGTACATCTATCTTCGGCTAAGAAACAAAATTAAGATGCGTTACCAGCTCGAAGGAATAAGATTGTGCGTCAAGTTTCAACACTCAACATAAGAAGCACAACAGCACACAGTCGCTAAAGTGCGTTGAAATCCTATGATAGTGTGATCTTTACCCGTAACCCTGGCCCAACCCACTTGTGCTAGCACTATAATATAGCTATAGCATGGCCTTATCACGCACAAAACTTGTAAATATTTAATACGAATTTTTCTTAGAAAGCTAAATAATAACGTCCTAAGTATCTCATTTCTGAAAGCTTTGTGCAAGAAAGCGTCCACTGTACTGATAAACATGTGTTGGGAGATCTCAGATATCCTGTAAATACTTTGAACGTCTCAGGTATGCAGATTTTCTGACGTTGTTTAAGTTTAACCTCCAGCACGTAGTAAATCAGCACTTAAAATTGCGTTTAACAATGTCATCATGGTGTTGGTTCGAATCAAACTCAGCTCGTGCACTTGAAAGGCTAATGAATATTAAAATTATTTTATATAACTCGCTTTTTCATTACTTAGATGGGGTTAATTGAAGGTCCGTCTACTAATGAAATGATATCAGAAGTAGATGCAATCAACACATTTGAACGTGCGTTGCGGTACCATGGACCTGTAATAAATGCTCGAGTTCGCACGATGCCATCTCATACTCTTTTAGACAAAATCGCAAATGTAGCTGGTAATATTTAGTATTTTTTTACGTCTATCAAAAATCAGAACGACCATTTCCACTTTTTATGTTGAAATTTTTCAGGCATTGAAGTACCTACTGATGTGGCGGAAACAACTACTTTATCAGATTTAGATTTTCAAGTTGATAGATCTAAAATGGTTTCTACCTACCTTAGTGATATTCATAACATTTCTATATCAGACGAAGCAGTATCCAAATTGACAATTCAAAAGTACGTTTTATTTTAAAAATAATCTATTTAATATTTATTTAATTTATAATTATTGACTATAATTTAAAAGATTATATGTAGGAACGTTGTTTGTGTTTAAATAATTAAATGTGTAACATGTTTTTACAGAATACGGGAAATAGACGAAACGATAAATGATATGGAATTTAAGGACACAAAGGGCTTAGAGACATTTTATTGCCATGTCGACCTCGACGAACTACTTGTGACTACTGAAATGGTGTTCTTGCCAACCCTTGCAAATAGTTCTGCTATGGTGAGGAAATAAAAATAATTTCAGTGGTGGCAACGGCTATCGTTCTTGTGTTGCTTCGAGAGCTTGACCATCTATTTATTAATGCTTATTTATTTATTTCCTTATTTCAGCGTGATGACGAATTTGATGTTAGTCAGACGTACTTGTGTATTATACCTGGCTTGGAAGGACATCATGTACGTTTCCGTATTCTGTGTGAACGCCTGAAGGTGCCTGCTATAATATTGCAGCCAGGTCTTGATCGCCCCGATGAAACTATATCTAATCTAGCTCAGCGATATGCCGAGGTAATTTTCAATATAAAATTTGCAAAATTGTTACTATGTCAAAATCATTTAATCCATCTCGTTTCTTATGTGATAAAATATTCGACTATGAGGAACGCCGTTAATACCACGATACAGCCTATGTTATTGAATGACCTTATAACAATAATTTATTTGCAAAATGGAAAGTAACATCAGCTTAATGGTTAACCTTTCCCTAACCGTGCCCGCCATAACAAAAAACAGCTTTGTACCGGGGCCTCTGTCGTCACCTCAGCCTGCGGCACTTGTTATAAACATTTATGTTTCTCACGACCTTTCGTTTATGTTTAAAGAGATTTTAGTTACAGTTATTTAAAGTCGATAAGATTTTAGATAAGTAGAAACAATAACCATAACATTTAAATGTTTAATTTATTTTGTACAGCTCTTTGTTTCTAACGGATCTTTTTAAAGTGTACTTACTGACGATAAATTTTATTTTATGAATGAAATATCGTAAGTTTTTATTTTATTTTTATGTCCTTACAATCAATACAACATATTCTTCCTAAATGAACCGAAATTATGCATGTAATAATTATAGTAATTCTACTTTTTCACTTGCAAACATTTGCTAAAAATTCGACAATAGACAGTTTGCGCGCACTTTGTAAACTCATTTTCAAAACTTTTTTGTGTATATATTTTATATCGTCTTCCTTTATTTTTCTTATACAATCATATAGATATAACATTTAGCAATTCCTAGTAAAAGTATTTACTATGGTATTCCAATAAGAAATATACTATTATTATCTTATTTTAGAATCTTAGACTTAACTTTAGAATCTTGACCGTTATGAATTGTTCGCGTAGAGGTTTTTTATTTCTACTTTTTTATCAATTGAAACATAAAAAATACTGTTGTTGTAACTTAAATTATTCAAAAACATTACGTAGTAAAAATAAATAACATTACTTACAGTTTTTTTGAAAGAAAATCCAACTAAAATCACAATCACAAAACTTCAACGATTACGCAACTAACCGCACCGGCACGCAAAAGCGAATGGCTGTTATTGTATGTTTAACTATATGCATGTATGTAATATAATGCAATGCAAGATTAAATGCTGCTGAGGAGTACCACTCAAATACTGAGATTGTAGGATGCAAAATAAAACACTGTTTATCGTAACGCCGTGCTAATGGTACTGAATTAATTATAAGAACAATAAGTGTGTAAAATGCATTGAAATGACGTCAAACACGAGCACGCGCTCCAATTTCGCTAACATATAAAAATGTACGGGTTTACTCGTACATATTGCCAAGTCTTAAACAAAGAAAGAGAATAAAATCTAAAAAGCATACAAAAATAAGAAAAATATTGTTCGTCTATTTTACACTCGAACTTAATAATCTTGTCAAACGTTGTGGATGTAGTCTTATCCGCAGTGCGCGAACCGCTGAGTATTCGGCGCGCGGTCGGCGCTGGCGGCGGGCTGCCGGGTGCGGGGTCGCGTCAGCTGGCCTCGCCGTGTTGATATGTTGTAGTTTTCTTCTGTACAGGTATAGCTGCCGTTAGTATTCCTGCGGCTACTATGAAGTACATGATGTATATCATAACGTAGTGGTTGTATGTCATCATTTGATATCCCTTCATCAGATTGACTCAGCAAGTCTTTTATTTGCCCCTTGATTTTCCAAAATGTATTATTGTGATATTCAGCAACAAATGGCAGCTGGTTGGTAGATGTATTGATGACATAGTTCAATATGGACTCTTCATCCGTACTCCCGATGTCAAAACTTCCCGTATATATTTCACTCTTATAGTCCTGCTGGCCTTGTATAGAAAACGTGTCCCCCTTAAGAATGCAATCTTGACCTATACTGATAAGACCGCTGCCGCGCAGACTCGTCGTCGCCAGCCCAGACGAGCATAATATGCGGATCTTGCATTCTTCGCAGCATGTGTACAGCCAGTTATCACGAGAGTGTAATTTAATCCATCTGTCGGGGCACTCCTTTGTTTCTCTACGACAATATGTTTGATTGCTGTCATCCGTGATTATTTTTACGTCACATATAGACTGACCCACTTTAAGTTCGTATAATGGACTAGTAATGGGGCATAATAGGTTAACGTCATTGTATCTTATGCAGAATTGTAAATCATTCTCCGACAGCGACATAAAGGTATCTTTTCGTAAGTTGAATGCTATGTAGTCGGTAGAAGGTGTGACGTAGACTGAGTTCAAATTTCTTCCTTGCGGTATAGGTATGACTCTACTAAGTTCATAAGTGTCAGTACTCAGTAGTGGCACCTTCACTTCAATTATGACGTAATCTTCGGTTATTCTTGCCTTTACTTGTAGCATTTTGAATAACTCCTTAATATTTTGAACGTTGACCGGGACTAAAGACTCTCCCTGGACATGTCTTGATATGATGTTTAACTGTTCTTGCAGTTGTGCCGGAGAAAGCAAGTGAACATCGAGCCTACCGTGATATATGTTCGTAACAGTATTAATCAGGGTGTCCTGTATTCTTCTTAAATTTGATAAAATGACGTCAAGAGTAACAACATGCGTAGTAAAATAAAATATGTTTATGGCTCGCTGTTTTACTTGTTGAACTTCGCTTGAAAAATTCCTTATTTGTTCGTCGATTCTCGTGAATTGCTTATTCATTATGTATTCATTTCGCTGTATTATATTATTTTCCACTTCAATTGTATTGTGTATTGTAGTTTGATTTTTAAGCAACTTTTGCAAATAGATTTCGTTTTGATGTATTAATTTTATGTCTTTAGAGTATTTTTCAGCGAAATTGTCATCCAAAATATCAAATAAATAATTGCTTAATCTTCCCACTCCATTAATTAAACCTCTTCTTGAGTGGTGCAAATTTTAAAATATTATTGTAATGTTCTATCTCGTCCAACTCGTGTCTGAACTGAGCCAATGTTGAAGTGTTTGTACTTTCTTCATTACAGATGCTGTTTAAATGCTCTAAGTATTTCTCCACTTTTTCAATGTTTTTCCAGAATGTTGACATATTGTAGTATATAATTATGATCCAGTGTCTTTCTACAAGTTGCAAATCAGCTGCTCGATCAAAATATAGCGCTTTATTCGTTTCTAAAGGAGTTATTTTGTACTTTTGCTGTATCGACGGTGATATAACTGTCATGAGAAGTAACAGCAAATAAATTAAATAATTTGGCTTACTTCTAATGCGATTTGACGTGTATCCAGTAGCGCCGGGGTCACTGGCCGCTCGAGACGATTCATCATCTTGATTAGGGAGTACTGGCAAAGGACACAACTTCGTGATGGGCCGTTTCAGGATCCCGTGCTTAGTTTTAAGTGTGACAGCGCGTACATACCCGTCCTTGCCGGGGTGCACATCGATGACTTTTGCTAACGCCCAGTTAGAAGGAGGTAAATAATCTTCTTTCATCACGACTATGCTGTCCAGTTCTATATTCTTTTGAGGTATATGCCACTTGCTTCTTGTTTGTAACGTGTGCAAATATTCTGCAGACCACCGCTTCCAAAACTCTTTGTGCATCTGCTCAGTTAGCTGCCACCTTGTTTTTACGTTGTCAATATTGTTATGAGATAATGGTTCAGATAGAATAGGACCGCCGATGAGAAAGTGGCCAGGTGATAGGTAATCTATGTCTTCTGGGTTTTCAGTTAAGGAACATAGAGGCCTTGAGTTGAGGCAAGCCTCTATTTGCGCAAGCAGCGTCGAATACTCTTCGAAGGTAAGCTTCTGATGGCCAACTACGCGCTTCAGGTGATGCTTTAAACTTTTAACAGCGGCTTCCCATATGCCGCCCGCACTGCTCCACGCAGCCACGTTAAAATGCCAAGTAATTCCCAGCTGGCTGACGTCGTCGAGGAAATCAGTATTGATTGTTTGTAGCGCTTGCTTGTATTCCTTTTGAAGTACACGTGACGCATCCACGAAGTTCGTACCGTTGACACTGTAAACGTGTAATGGCGTGCCGCGCCGAGCGCACATACGTTTAAATGCAGCTAAAAACGCTGATGCAGTGAGGTCTGACACGAGCTCCAGGTGAACAGCTTTTATAGTTAGGCATATAAAGACAGCTATATAGCCTTTTGTGGTCTTAATGCCTCTCCCCTTATTTGCTTTGACCTCAACATGCCCTGCAAAGTCCACCCCCGTATGTATAAAGGGGCGTGATGGTACCACTCGAGGGGTCGGCAGATCACCCATGATCTGTGTTCAAAATTCGGTCTGGAAAACACTATTAATAATATTACAAAAAATCAACATTAAAATCAAGCGGAGGTAGTATTAAAATGTTGAGATTGAGGTTTCTAACGTTTCTCGCAAATATCGGTCTAAATTGGAATTCGTACATAGAATCCATAAATAGGGTTTCTTTTTAATTATTCATGTATGAGCACTTACCATGCTTAACATTTTAATCCTTTTTACAGTTAATATTATGTTGACCGATATTATCTACTTACAGATACTATTAAAGAAGGTTTCACTGAAAGAAAACTTTTATCTATTGGGTTATGAAAGCGGATCTTTAGTAGCATTGAAAGTGGCTGCTATTTTAGAAGATCACGGTAATAAATGTTATTTGCAAATATTTTGTTTCGTAAATATACGAGAATAATTCGTAAAAAGGAACGGCATCATGATTTCATTCTTTTGTCGTTAATTTTAGTTTTTTTTTTTTAAATTATTTTGATTAGGTACTACATAGTGCATATAACTTAAAAGTATCAAACTGTATATGTCAAATATTGCAAATGTTTTAGAGGCTTAAATTTTTTTATAACTCCAGGTTTAACCGGGACCGTGTTTTTTGTCGGTGAATCTCCAGAAGAAGTCCAAAGCACTATAAAGGAACGACTTAAGGAGCATGACTCTGATGAAGCATTACAGATTGCAGTCGCAAAACATATTGTCAAATTAATGGTGGCTGGTAGCACAGATGAATTAGAAATTGCTCTATGCCGTGTACCAACTTGGCACGAAAAGGTTGAAGTATGTCTTCGTTTCATCTTAGGTAGAGTGTCACACTCTATGCAGTATGCGCGGGAACTTATAGAATCTGCATATGGTAGAATAAAGCAAGTGCTGTGCTACAACTTAAAAGTACAAGCGCTGCGTTCTAAATTAGTATTAATACGAGCGGCATCATCCACAGGCAATCCCGAAGCACTTTCCTTGCAACGTCATTCACAGCAACCTATTAGTATATACCAATTGCGTGCTCCTTTAGCCTATACTACTTCGGATTTGCGTTGCTCCGCTGTCATTAACAGCCATCTTAATACCGACACATTGAAGGCGTTTGAAAAGAAAAATCTCTGTGACTCTTACCTGTTTAATGCCGATGTGTTTGTGACAATGGATGCAACTTACACTTCTTAATTATGTCTCTTCTTAATTATATCTTAATGAATAGACGGTGTTGATATTTAATTTAATATTAATAGTTTTTGTGACGTTTATTTGAAATAAATTGCTTAAAGTAATATTTTTTGTTTAAATAAATACCTCTCTCTTTAAAAAACATATAATATTACTAACAAACTTGAATTTCAGTATAAAGCCCACACAAGAATAAACAGCTATTTACTAATAAACTAATTTGATCCGTAAAAATTTGCATGATATTCCTTTGGTTTACTGGGGCAATGGTAGGTCAAGCTATGTTACACTAAGGATCATAAAATTAAAGAAATATATATTAATATATATAAATAATAATATATTATAATAAATAATACAAATTAAATATTATAGCCTCCATCATTCCTGGAATTGCTTTCTGTTTGTGATATTTCATCACAAGTGGTTCAGCGGTTTTAGCCCGGACGGACAGCTGTTTGCCTAAATTATTATATCTACTTAAGTAAAAGTTGAGTTATAAAAGTAAAAAAAACATTATTTTTTAACAAGATTTATTCTTAAAATGATATTACATTTTATAAAAAGGTTGTGCCGTGCCATGGCCACTAATTGGCTATGGCACTTTATTATTATTTAGAATATTATGGTTTAGAATGTTTTTGGTTATATTTTTATGGTTTAAGCTTTTTACGGGTTGTATATTCATTTTTGTGTAATTACATTTTTACTCATCATCATATAATATTTTAGACTATAGTTTTTTTATCATATCAAAATAAATATAATTTAAAAGTTTCAAGACGGTTTAAAGTATGAAGGGAAAATAAGAATCATAATTCACGTCGCATATTCAAATTAGTGGTGGGCGCGCCATTAAGGAGGTAAATAGTAGGCAAAATCTCCGTACACACACGACTTGTACAACATACAAGAGCACGCGGACGCTGTATTTGCCCATAAATTACATTTAATTTTGGATATTTTCAAATAAATGTAGAAACCCTATTGTTTCGAATTTAGGGTTCGTGACAGTAAAAACTGCCGATTGAATTACCAAAATTAACACTTTAATCACCGAACACCAATTAAAACCTAAAAACACTAATAATTATTCACAGAAACAGACAGAACAGAAACACTCGGACGATCCTCTTTTTCTTTTCTTTTATCCCTCCCCCTTTTCCTATCCTAACCCAATCCAAAGTGTCAAGAGTACCGTGCCGATGGATGCGTGGCTGGAGGGAGTCCAGTCGCAAACGGTGCCTACCCGAGACCAGGGCGATTCGGGTAGTATTTTAGCCCTTCCCTCGGCATACGAGTCTCTGCCGGGGGTGACCATATATTTCCCTAGCTACTCGTGGGAACAAAATGGATGAAAACCGACATTTTGTTAAAGACAGTGGGAAGTCTCCTTTAATGGAATTAGTTGCAGGTTTGGAAGAGGCTCTTTTAGCCTCACCAATACACCCTGCAACAGTGCGCCTCAACTTGGGACGAGCCGTGAAGTCGAGGGCACGTTTGCAGCCGAACCACAATCGGAAACGAACCAGGGAGGGGAAAAGAAAAAGTTCGCTAGGCCTTATAAGCTTAGTGGGGCTGCGAGGAAAAGGTACCGAAGGCTGATAGCAGCTGAGATTGGAGCCGAAGAGGCTCACTGTCTCTGCTAGATGCTTTGGGACGAAATTCCTCCGCCCAAGCCTATCCCAGTTCCGAAGGCGAAAAAACGCAGTCGGACTGAGGAAGAGTCCCCCAAAGACCAGCCCAGGAAGATTGTGAAGCTGGCAACGGAGGAGAAGAAGCTCAGCTTCAGTGTCGTAGCTGGCTCCGCGCGTATAGGAATTCGAAATTCGAATCCTATGCATGTGGAGCAGATGCGGCTAGTCCACCGGGCACTAACACAGGCCATCGCTAAGACGGCCTGTGGGGCGCAACCGAGAAAGGGTCCAAAATTTTCCGGTTTCACACACAAGCCAGGTTGGATTCTGGTAACGTGCCTGAATAAGGCAAGCCAGGACTGGATTGTGGGTGAAATTGGAAAACTAAAGCCCTGGCCGGAGGCAGAGCTCTCGGTAATACCCGAGGAAGAGCTGCCTAAGCCTCAGCTGGGCATTACGTACTTGCCCCGCAGCGAAGCCGACTCTTCAGAGGAGGCGGCTGTGCTGTTGAAGGCACAAAATGAATGTCTCGTCCCTACGGTGGAGAATCCTCCACCGTAGGGACGAGGAGAATGGGTTCCTAGTAACCTTTTCTCTGGACGACCCATCAGCGGAGGCTCTTCGGAAGGCAGGCGGCAGAGTTGTCCTTGGCTTTAAAATGATAACTTTTAAAGTCAAGGGAGGCTCTGACGCGGCAATGGAGCCCGAACCGCCCCAACCCCAGCCTATATCCCCCCAGCCCTTCACCTATCGGGGTGAGGCTGGAACGCCACCGGTGAGAGTCACGAAGACCCAAGGCGCAGATTTCGTCTCGGTCCGACGGCCTCCGCTGGTGTCGTCCAGGCCGGGGAGGAGGGGAGGTGGGAGCGGTTCGACGACAGGTAAGGCGTGGGTCAAGTTCACAGGAAAAGGACTTCATCGTCCTCAACAGGCGGAAAAGACCCCTGCCCCCCATGCCCATAAATGGCTAAACCCAAGGGTAAGACGAGGGTCCTTCAAGCAAATCTTCACCATGCAGCAGCTGCTTCTGCCGTGGTGGAGGTTTACTTTGCAGAGGACAACATTGACCTCGCCCTTATACAAGAGCCTTGGGTGGCCAACAGTCAAGATCTGGGATTGGCGGCTGCCGGTAAGATTCTTGTCAATACCAAAAGCAGTAGACCCAGAGGTTGTATAATTTATAATAAAAATATTTAACTTTTAGCTGTTCCAGAGTACGGCAATGATGACCTGGTTACAGCCTTCATAACTCTCAAGGGATTCACAGGGGCCAGAGTAATCATTTGCTCAGCCTATCGTCCCGGCGAGAACGCAGATCCTACCATCGAGTTAAAGCGAGTGGCGGAGTTCGCCCGAAAACACTACGCCGAACTTGTGATGGGTTGTGATGCTAATGCTCACCACACAGCCTGGGGAAGCACCAACATCAACGAAAGCACCAACATCATCTCCAACCGCCTGGTAAGCCTAAACTTAGGTTGTACACCAACCTTTGTAACGCGTGCTAGGCCAGAAGTGTCAGATAACCTTTGCTACCAATAACATTTCGAGGCGGATAAATGACCGGCATGTTAGTAGCGAAAACTCGATGTCTGATCACAAGCACATTAAGTTTGTGATTGGAGCATCACCAATCTTTGAAACCGTTACTTTTAGGGATCCGAAAGCGACCTTCTGGGATATCTACAGAGATAGCCTAAGGAGGAATTTGGAAACGTTTCCTAAAAGCATCAAAACAATTGAAAGTCTGGAGTTAGCGACGGAGACAGTAACCGTAGGTATACGTGAAGCCTTCGAGGACAGTTGTCCCGTCAAAACCAAAAGACCTCAACACGAAAAGTTTCTTGGTGGAATTCTAAGCTGAAAGACCTTAGGGAAAAGACCAGGAAACTATGGTGGGTGAGTGGGATATTTATAGTGCAGCCCTAACTGAATATAATAAAGAAATTAGGAAAGCCAAGATAGCATCGTGGAGGAAGCTATGCGAGGAAGTTGAGTCTTTGCCTCGCAAGACTACACAAGATGCTATCGAAAGCTAAACCTAATCAGATCGGGCTTTTTAAAAAGCCGGATGGTAACTTCATTAATAGTGAAACAGAAACATTGGAGTTACCAGCGTCAACCCATTTCCCAAGACTTTAGCCTTGAACTCTTTCAGAGCCTTACGAAGGCCTTGCAATGAGGACTGGCGTAGGGCTGCAAAGATAATAAGGCCAAACTTGGTGCAGTGGGCTGTTGACTCCTTTGAACAATTTAAATCTAGCGGGGAGAATGGAATAATTCCCATCTAACTACAGAGAGATATCGATATCCTTCTTCCATATCTGGTGAAAATCTTCAGACCAAGTTTTGCAAGGGGATATATTCCAGAACGATGGACAATTGTCAAGGTTCTATTTATACCTAAGACTGGTAGAAAGGACTACGCTTTACCAAAGATCTTTAGACCTATAAGCCTATCTTCCTTTCTTTTGAAGACATTGGAAAAGGTTATAGATAAATATATAAGGGATGTAGCTCTAGCTACGAGGCCCATACATTACAACCAGCATGCTTACCGCAGAGGCAAATCTACGGAAACAGCCCTGATCAGTGTCATTGATAGGGTCGAAAAAGCACTGGAGAATAAAGAAATAGCTCTTTGTGCTTTCTAGATATTGAGGCCGTCTTCGACAGTAGCCCCACATCACTGCTGATTGGGGGCCTAAAATCTAAAAATGTTGACCCCACAACCATCAGATGGGTGAAGTCAATGCTCTCAAACAGAAAGGCAAAAATAAAGCTGTTTCAAACTTCGATTGAGGTTGCAACCACAAGAGGCTGTCTTGTTACCCTTCTTTCTTCTTTGGTCTCTTGCGGTTGACCAACTATTGTACAAAATGGCAGACCTACGCATTGACACATTGGGTTATGCTGATGACCTTGTGATCATTGCGAGGGGCTTTTGCCAAAGTACTTTATCGTCAATAATACAAAGAGCCCTAAACACCATAAATAACTGGTGTAGGGATAACAGTTTATCACTGAATGCTGATAAAACTGTTATAATACCCTTTACCAAAAAGAGACGGTTGGACAAATTAGTCCAACCAAAACTTAATGGCAAAGAAGTACCATTTTCCACGGAAGTTAAGTACTTGGGCGTAACAATCGACCAAAAACTGACGTGGAACTCTCACCTTAGCAACGTATGCCATAAGACAAAAATTGCTTTAGGTACGTGCAGTCGTTTGGTCGGGAACAACTGGAGCTTGCGTCCCAGTATGGTCCTATGGCTGTACAGCAGCATAGTGAGGCCGATTCTCACCTACGGCTCTATTGTCTGTTGTAACAAGGCCAACCAAAAGACGACTGCGGACAGAC